CCTCTCCCTCCAAGGCCAGCCTCCCACCTCCCACACTACCCTTTCTTCCTGGGGTTGGGAACTCCACTAGGGTGGCCATTGTCTTGGGTTACACGTATGGTCCTCATGTAACAATTAGTAGTACCGCAGCTTTAGAAATACATTATGCAGTCACCCTAAAATCCTCCTGTATCTTCGCCACTGTACCTCCTTCCCAAGTGCCAGAGGTTTCAGCTCCTGCAATCCATCTGGGTGACATCTGATGGCATTCTGTCCTTACTGGTCATGCCCACCTGCCCGTGTCACTCATGAATGTCATCTGGCAGTCTCACCATCACTGTTCAGTGGACTTTGGTTGGGTTTCATGGGAGCAAGCACTGCCTTTGCTTTGAGCATCAACTCAGGACTACAGTGAACCCTCGCCACTTCGCGCTTCGACTTCCGTGGCTTCACTCTATCGCGGTTTCTGCGTAACAGCGCATGCTCTGTCATTACTGCCACTGATTGGCTCATACTGTACACGCTTGATGCCATAAATAATATAATAAATGATAATTGTAACGTCCAAAATGTTTTACTGTATTTTCCCTTTTTCGTTTAATAAATTGGGTAATACGAGTGTAATGGTGACTAAAGGGTGTTTTTTCATGTCCTCTATGCTCTAACTACGAAAATATTTGATTTACAAATAAGGAATCCTACTTTGCGGAATTTCATTTATCACGGTAGGGTCTAGAACCGATTAACCGCGATAAACGAGGGTTCACTGTATTTCCTTCTGTTATCACGCCCAGTGATCCTGCTCTTGACCTTTCTCATTGCCCCAGCGTTTGCCCTTACTCTATCCTCCCAGGCTGCTGGACTCTTATGGCCCCATATGGTTTTAGATCTGCTCCAGCCCTCTGGCTGCTGTTTCTGGGATGTATTGATTGATTCACTGGCCGTCTCTCCCACTAGACTGTGGGCTTGGGAGCCCCATGAGGATACAGTGATTTTCTTTTTCCCCTGAATTCCTCTCCCGTCCTGCATGCTTGCGGCCCTCTGTAGTTAAATTGAATTCACTGCTATTTTACACTTCTGGAAGCGTAGCCCTCTTATGAATAATTTTCTCTTCATCTCTGTCATCAAAAGATAGCTTTGTTTTCTGATTTGGTGAAGAGGACTTATTTTCACTTCTTGTTTTATTTCCAGTTCTATTGCTGGGGGGACGCAACTGCCTTGGTTCTCTGTTGATGGCCAACCCACCCCGGTGTCTTGACCCTGCCACCATTTTCTGCCTGCAGTGGGTGCTGTACTTCACTTCCCTTCGTATTTCTAATTGCACTGGCAGTTTCGCCTTTGAATGTGCCTCTCTTATCCACGCGTCTATGTTCCTTTGTCTGCCAATCAGAGTAGGCAGACATTGTGTTCTCCCTTTGGCCTTTCCCTCTGCCTTTGAATTGTGCTGTGTTTTGCATCATTAGTGTTTTTCTTAAGAAGCAGAGTGCGGAGCCTAGCCAGTCACCACGGGCAGGTGCTGTAACCCATCTAGTGTCGTGTGCAAACCCACCCCCACCCCCCACAACCACCATCACCCAGTAGCGCCGCATGGTTTCTAATATTCTAGAAGTGCTTTGCCTTATTCAATTTTGTCTGTATTTTTTTTCTCATACACAGAAGCCAAAAGGCATCCTTTCAGTGGTTCTTGGGTTACTGCTTGCATAAAAGAGGATGGCGAGGCATGGATGGGCAACATATAGAAAATTGGGGCGGGCTGGTGGTAAATGTAGCACTAGACAAAAGTTGAGTGCCTTATGTGCTCATAGTTCTATGTCAGATCATCTTAAGTGAATGTAGGAGGAGAGCCAGTCTTCAAAGATGCAAACTTTTCACACCTATTTGCGATTCTGTTGAAAGCCATTAATAGTTCCCTCCTCTCTGGTACCAGAGCACTGGTACAAGCA